ATAAAAGAAATTCCACTAAATTTGTTCATTAGATAATAATATTCCTTGTTATTTTGTAAAGCCGACGGTGATAGCTCAAACACGCACCGATCTCCAAGAAAATTGACAGGGGTGTTTCCTAGATAAATACACAACACTAAAACTTTGAATAGCATTGTAGGACCATTTTTTTATTTGTGGAAGGCAACGGTCACACCCTAATGTACATACACACACAGCAGTCAGTTGGTTGACTCCACTGTCACTTGACTGCCTGGCTGAAAAGTGGCATCACTTAAATGATGGTTTGAGTGTGGAAGGAGCTATTTTTTTTACATAAAAGATGTGTTACAGGTTGTACCCCTCTAGTCCGGCATTCTGTGGTCCGGAACGATTTTAGTTTGCCCAATAGGTAGATAGGCATTTTTTTTTTTTACTTATCTGAATTATTATTATTATTACTGGAGTATTAAATTTTTGCCCCTCAGGCCCCAATGTGGGTCAGTGACCAATGCCCGGGTGGGCTCATCACCGTAAAAAAAGAAACAACAAAGCCGCGGGAAGTTAAAGTTTGTTTACATCCGGCAGTTCGGCTGCTCTCTCTCTCTCTCTCTCTCTCTCTCTCTCTCTCTCTCTCTCTCTCTCTCTCTCTCTCTCTCTCTCTCTCTCTCTCTCTCTCTCTCTCTCTCTCTCTCTCTCTCTCTCTCTCTCTCTCTCTCTCTCTCTCTCTCTCTCTCTCTCTCTCTCTCTCTCTCTCTCTCTCTCTCTCTCTCTCTCTCTCTCTCTCTCTCTCTCTCTCTCTCTCTCTCTCTCTCTCTCTCTCTCTCTCTCTCTCTCTCTCTCTCTCTCTCTCTCTCTCTCTCTCTCTCTCTCTCTCTCTCTCTCTCTCTCTCTCTCTCTCTCTCTCTCTCTCTCTCTCTCTCTCTCTCTCTCTCTCTCTCTCTCTCTCTCTCTCTCTCTCTCTCTCTCTCTCTCTCTCTCTCTCTCTCTCTCTCTCTCTCTCTCTCTCTCTCTCTCTCTCTCTCTCTCTCTCTCTCTCTCTCTCTCTCTCTCTCTCTCTCTCTCTCTCTCTCTCTCTCTCTCTCTCTCTCTCTCTCTCTCTCTCTCTCTCTCTCTCTCTCTCTCTCTCTCTCTCTCTCTCTCTCTCTCTCTCTCTCTCTCTCTCTCTCTCTCTCTCTCTCTCTCTCTCTCTCTCTCTCTCTCTCTCTCTCTCTCTCTCTCTCTCTCTCTCTCTCTCTCTCTCTCTCTCTCTCTCTCTCTCTCTCTCTCTCTCTCTCTCTCTCTCTCTCTCTCTCTCTCTCTCTCTCTCTCTCTCTCTCTCTCTCTCTCTCTCTCTCTCTCTCTCTCTCTCTCTCTCTCTCTCTCTCTCTCTCTCTCTCTCTCTCTCTCTCTCTCTCTCTCTCTCTCTCTCTCTCTCTCTCTCTCTCTCTCTCTCTCTCTCTCTCTCTCTCTCTCTCTCTCTCTCTCTCTCTCTCTCTCTCTCTCTCTCTCTCTCTCTCTCTCTCTCTCTCTCTCTCTCTCTCTCTCCTCTCTCTCTCTCTCTCTCTCTCTCTCTCTCTCTCCCTCTCTCTCTCTCTCTCTCTCTCTCTCTCTCTCTCTCTCTCTCTCTCTCTCTCTCTCTCTCTCTCTCTCTCTCTCTCTCTCTCTCTCTCTCTCTCTCTCTCTCTCTCTCTCTCTCTCTCTCTCTCTCTCTCTCTCTCTCTCTCTCTCTCTCTCTCTCTCTCTCTCTCTCTCTCTCTCTCTCTCTCTCTCTCTCTCTCTCTCTCTCTCTCTCTCTCCTCTCTCTCTCTCTCTCTCTCTCTCTCTCTCAAAAGTTATAGTCCACTGCCTCCCTGCATTCTCTTCCCACACATATACTGTACACCCATGCTCTTCATTTTACTTATTTTATAGTTTTATATTTTATTTATTTATAAGCAAAATTGTTTATATAGAGTGGAATACATGTCAAAGAAATCCTTTTTTCCGAGACAAATTTGCGTGGTCAGCCTGTAGCACTGTGCATTTATGGGATTTATTGGGAATCCTGTCTGTGTTGGTTAACGAGAGAGATTTGACGTAAACCTTGAGCAGGTATGGTTTACAGGAGTTAGGTTAGAATAAGTGGACAAATGCTTTTTTGTGAGGCCTAGGGTTTTTCTCTGGGTTGGGATTAAAGTTTAGCTGAGTTTTTATAGACCCTCACGGTATCATATTTAACAACAGAATTCTCTCTTATCATTAATTTGAGAATGTGGGTCTGGCAACTGTGCATAGCAAAATTTTTCACTGGATTAATGGGGTTAATGTCTGGAGATGCCCCAGTTGAATCAACTGTCGGATGAAGTTGAAGAAAATGCAACACCATTATTGGTTTCTTTACATTATTGCACATTGACTTGTGTGATTTCAACCAGATTGTCTTCAGTGGTTATTATGGCTTTGGAACTTACTTTCCAGAGTTATATGCTGGTATTTGCACTGTATTCCCCTTTTAATACAAGGAGATAGAGGGAGGGGGAGGGAGGAGAGATCTTGGTCATGTTTAACCATGAAAGATGGAGATCTTGAAGTAAGTGACAGATTAGCTTAACATTCTGGAAGTATACTGTTAGATTTGGGAACTGAAATTATATTATGAGTTTCAGCTTTTGGGAGCTTGATGATTTAGGAAGAATTTCCTCATCTTTAATCTTGCAAAGGAGTAGGGAGACATAGTGGACCTAGTGAAATGTGAGGTTTCATAATGCTGCTTTAGGGCTACTCATATTAAGGGAGGAGTTGCAGGTTAGAGAGGACATTTTGTTATACCCATGTTAACATATGGAATATACTCTGGTAATATATTAACATAAGCCTTGGGATTTACCAAACTTTCTGTTTAGGTAAAATGATGTTACCTGTTTAAGGTACAGTATAGTAAACTCTCTGTATAACAGATACTGTATATAACGAAATCCGATTATAACACCATAAACCTATTGGACAAGCCCTCAAGATAACAGATAAATGTCTTTTACTTGTAAGACTCCCCCTAAGTTGGAAACCCCCATTAGTTGGACTAGGGTCTGTAGATCTACCATCACTCACCCTACACCTCAGTGTCAGGGGCCGGTTGATAACTCCTGATCTGCCACCTCGCATCCTCGAATCTGACTGTGATTAAACTAAGAAATAAATGCTAGTTTCAAGTGTAACTGAACAGATGAATATAAGTGAAACTAAATAGTATAAGTGAAACTACAGTAAAGTAAAGCAAGCGCCCCCCCCCCCTTGTCCTCCAACTCAAGATTCAAAACAAAATTCTGTCTGCTACAATGTAAGTACACTGTAATTAAGTATTGTTAACTTAAATTTTGTTTTGGGATGTGATTTTTCAGCAAAATTGTGGTCGGACTTTCAGATAAGTTGGACTAGCTTGACTCCAAATAGTCGGAGTTAGGGGAGCCTTACTGATAATGATTAAGATTTCCTCCTAATATTTCAAACCCCCTTTTCCCTCCTTAAGTTCAAAATAATTATTGGGCAATCAGTTTTAACAGATTTTCGGCTTTAGTGACAATAGCCGTCCCCCAATTAGTCCATTATCCTAAGGGTTTACTGTACTTACTTTGAGGTTGATTGAATATGAGAATCTCTCTTAAGTGTTCAGACCATGATTAAAATGAATTGCAACTTAGCATAAGTTTGGATTCATGGTGAATCAAGGAAGTTTAGGTTCTTCTTTAGATACATTTTCTAAGTGTAGACTTCTACTGTCTTAGGAATGGATCAGTTGGGCTTCTAACTGATATCCTTTGTTGTCCTAGGGAGATCTTCTTCCTGGTTGAGAAGTTTTTTGAGAAAGTGAGAAGGGAGCCATGGCAGTTTGGAGAGATACTTGTCTTCATTTTGATCTTTGGTAATATCTTGGAAGAAAGTGATTTGTGCAGTTGCTTAATCCAAAATGATAATTATTTCCATTGTTGAGGGCACACAAGGGTTCTTTCGACCCTCTCGGGTTGGGTTGGCACTTCAGCTTGTTTGCGACAGGTGACCTTGCTTTGGTCCCCCCCAATGCAAGAGAGGTGGAAATAAGAAACAATATTGTTGGTATCACAGAGTTTATCAGGATACTTTCCCAAAGGTTTAATAGCTGTCAAGCTTGTTATTGCAACACTTTGTCTCTGGCATGTGCTTCATTTTAGAATAGAGCAGTGTCTTTCAAATTGGGGTCAAATCCAATCATATAAATCTTCAGATTTTCTAAAGGAAGGAGGATTTGGGATGGCATAGCTAGAAAATTGCTATGTCCCAGATTTCACATCACCTTTTCTGCAAGAGGGTTTAATGGCATGGAAATACTTTCCATGACTAAAGTGTTTGAGTTTTATTTTAACTCCTTCCTCCTTCATTACCTGTAGGCTTCAAGTGTTAATGAAAGTGGGTCACAACCTGATCCAACAATATCCAATTAGTTTTCTATTCTTGTTATGACCTTGAGTTAGAGTATGGGTGAGGATGAGTACCTCATAACAATGTCTTTTACTTTATTTAATAGGTTATACAGACTTGACTCCAAAGGGCCTCTTGTCTCTTAGTGTAACCTTTGCACTTGATCTTCTCAATTTGGGGTTGATAAGTGTGATGGGAAGGACAGGACAATATATTTATTTATAAGGGTGTGATCAGCTGCTATGACAACTCATATCAGGCAAATACTTATTACAAGAGCTGCCTGGCTATGGGTTCTACTAGAAAATGGATTTCAGGATCAACCCCCCCCTCCTTTCTTTTTCTTTTTCAAATATTATTCTTAACCAATGATCGTGCTTCTAGACTATTAAAACTTCCTTTGCTTACTATGGACACATGTAAAAGGCTATAATTCATAGGTTTCACATCCTTATTTTTAACCTTTGATCCTTTATGTAAGGCCTTGTTTAAAACTGCCTGCACCTCTGGGATGGGATGCTGCCTGAATTGCATATCTGCATTCAAACTTTATACTGTATAGATATATATCTCTTTAACTAATACTATATATTGATGTCCACCAACAGGTACTGGGCTGCGGTACCTATTCCCCATGGAACTAATGGATTCCATGCAGCATGTCCATTTTGCGCCTCACCACTAGAAGGTGACCCAGGGTTTGTCCGACTCATATTTCAAGACAATTGCGATTGAATTCCCTCCCTTTATACACTGTAGTATTATGTATAGACAACCTCTTGAAGTGTATCTCCATCCTTCAGTTTAATTTGCACTCAACATATTTTGTTAATCATGCTGGTTGAAAAGAGTGAACCTTGAATGCCATTCAGATATCATTAAATCTGTGTTTTTTATGCAACTAGGATATTGCTTGTTAAATTTTGTAATATAAAGTATATGATGCAACCCAGTTAATTTGGGTTGTATTACCCCTGGAAGATGAGTGCATTGGTTTTGATTAATATTTTGTTAATGCTGATTGACCAAGACCAGCACTCATAGAACTATGCAGCTTGTGCGATTGACTAAATGGCCACCCAGACACCCTACATGCTGCTACATGCTCACTTTACTATTCATAGTCAGTGTGTGCACTCAAGACTCTTGACACTCAAAAAGCAATGAGTAAAAGTTAATGCACTGGACTTGTTTATTGACATTTATTTGTATTTAAAAAGAGAGATTATGCTTATGAATATAACTGGTAATTAGAGATGTTGTGTGAGGAATCATAATTATACCTGTATAGTCCAGTGGTTAGTACTAAGTGCATCATGAGTATATCCATTGTCTTGAGCGCATCTCATGAAAATGAACTGAAGCTTTACATTGAGCATCATCGGAAACATTTATTATAAGTAATAACTATTATATTTCAAGATTAAAGGGTGTCAAATTTGGGTATGTGAGTCACTGGGTTAATTTTCCTCACCATATGGCACTGAAATAAATGTCACAATTCAAAAAGTATTATTATAAATATATGAAATGCAAGACCCATATCAACTTGTTTATTCAAAAAATGAAAGTAAACTTATTAGTGTTCATTACCACAGTCAAACAAAATTATTCCAACCTTTATTATGATATCTTTTACTTAGTGTCTATATCTGTAATGTTGGTAGATACAATATTGAATTGTGAGAGAAAAGCTGGATTTGAAAACATTGAATGGAAGGGTTATGTTCCATTTTTTTTTCTGCTATACCTTTTGGCATATTGCCAATTTTTCCTGGAGATGGATTGTAGCCAAGTGGTTACACTATTTTGAGGTTTGTGCTAATGGACTGTGGTCAGTTAGTGATACAGTAGAACGTCGATTTAAAGAGATTCAATTTCAGATTATTGATTTGAAGCGACACCCACAATTATGGGCAATTTTTTAATTTAAAGCGAATCTTTCCTTTTGTGCGCGAGTCAATTTGGCGCCTAATGTTTCCCACCAGACGCCTCTCTGGGCACGCTAAAAGGCTGCCCGCCACACACTCACACCCTCCATCATCCTTAGTTCTCTCACTGACTCTCAAGTGAGCGGACATATTGTGTGACACTATCTCCTTCTACCACGTGCATCAACCATAGCCACTATGTCCAAGAGGCCAGCTACTACATCATTAACTACCCCAAAGGCCAAGAAATCAAGGGAACCAATTACACTGTGGCAGAAAAACAAGGTGCTGGAAGCACTGCAATGTAGAAATGGTGTTTCATGTGTGTCAGATGCGTCCACAGCCGCAGCACTAGACAGTGATGTGGATGATGAGCTGGTCGAGTTGGGCTCTGCATCTTCAGAGGATGAATTGCCTAACTAAAGTTGAGTGAAAATCTGTTTTTGTTAGCATAAAGTAATAAAAAAAATAAGTTGAGAGGAAAGTGAGTGCTGGGCGAGTCAGGCGGGTGGTGAGTGGCACCAGCGCAACCACCCTCTCACATCAGCCCATCTTCTAAAATAAACAAACACTCATAAATCAACACAGCTAAAATTAAGGGATGAGAAATGGTCTGTTTACTAGCGATCAGCTGATGTGAGAGGGTGGTTGCGCTGGTGCCACTCACCACCCGCCTGACAAATCGGTCTCAATAGAGGACAGACTGTCTTTAAAAGGACAGACTTGGCAAACCTGCGCGGCTGCTCCACGTGACCCTCTCACATCAGCTAATCGCTAGTACACAGACCATTTCACGTCCCATAATTTTAGCTGTGTTGATTTATGAGTGTTTGTTTTAACATAATACTACAAAAAAAAACATTGTTTTGTTTATTCTAGGAGATGGTCTGAGGTGCATCTGGGCAGACTCTCGATCTTTTTAGTATTTTGTGTTTCTCTCAAGTACCAAACTAAATTATTCCATTGAAACAACACTTCGATTTAGTGCAAATTCGGTTTAAAGCAACCTCTCTTGGAACATATCTCGTATTATATCGACGTTCTACTGGGTACATTTTAAAATTTGGGTGATTAATATCTACAAGACAGGCATTCATATTAGAGAGTTCTATAATTTCAGTGAAGATTAATATCTAAGATTTTATTAATAATGCTGTGTAGATATTATACAGTGGAGAGATGTATCTAGTAATCAAAACTGCATATATCAGTGGAATAGATAAATAAATATATATATATATACTGTGTGTGTATATATATAGGTATATATTTATATACGTATATATATATATATATATATATATATATATATATATATATATATATATATATATATATATATATATATATATATATATATATATATATATATATATATATATATATATATATATATATAAAGCAGCTTATAATAAAGGATATTTAGGTCATAAAGGGGTATCTTAAACTTAGATTTTTTTTTTTTAACATATGCTGTATAATGTTCATCTTTGTGAATAGTCTTGTCAGTTTGTATTATCATCCAGAGGAAGCTATGCATCATGGTTAAATGTAATTTTCAAGGTTATGTACTCAAGGAACATTCAATTTGCACGTTGGTCTCAAGGTTGATTTTGGAATAAATATTCTGAGATTTACCATTGGCTCCTAATAATTATGATAGAAAATTGATTTAGCAAATAAGAATGAAATGCGGCAAACTTCTTCCTGAATCATAGAATTTATGGATAAACTACTTTCAGTTTCAAATCTACTATTTAAGTAGTATTTCTCATGCATATAGGCTTGCTAACACTGTTGTAAACAGGGACTGAAAATGATAGATTGCATTCTGTAAATCATGAGGAAAGATTAGCATGATACTGTTGTGAACTGGAAGTGAGAGTTGTAATTAACACTTTAAGTATTCTAGGTTAATGTCAGGTAATGCCTTGAGAATCCTGTGCTGTGAAGATTTTGGCAATGAGTCATACAGAGTATTAATCAGCCTTAACTTTAACACCATTAGACCATATGCAACTGGTTAAATGATGTCAAGGTGGTGAAAGACACTTGTATTGGGACCAGTAGACCCATTTCAAGATGGAGGAAGTGGAGGCAAGGCCATAAGCATACTTTATCTAGGATCTGACAACAGTGTCAGAAGCTTGACCAAGTTGCAAAGCTTTACATTTCATAATTTATAGAGAAACTGATCAAGAAATTGACAATATAAAGGAAGCCTCAGAAATAAAATCTGATGACCTGTGGAATTAATTTTATTATACTGGAGGTTAATTTTTTTAGCAACTGTAGTTCCTTATAATAGCCTGTATATCATCACCGAAATTGCCTCTTTATGAATTAAATTTTATCGGTATACCTCCTCAGAATGAAAACAAATATTCCATTAGTGCTGTGTCTTACATATAAGTAAGAACCTTTTTGAAAGTATTTAATTTATATAGCCAGTTTTTCAACATACACTGGTATATATGGGACAGTATTTGCAAAACTTAGGATTATCTCCCACCAGGATGAACTAGGACTTACAGGACTGTAATCAGTTATTATTTATTAATTTTGACATGTTTTAGTCACAGGGATGTTGTTGTATTGTTTAACCCTTGCGGTGCTAGTGATAAAACTCGTACTGAATACGCCTTGTGCAAAAAGTAAGGTCTGTGAAATTAATACAAAAAATAATTCTACATAATAGCTTAAGTATGCTAAACTACCCCCCCACCCCCCACCCCCCACCTTGATCTCATAGTGTCACCGAAAAATGGTTCGCATCCCAACCTGGTAAAAGATGACACTTCTATTCCTTCCAACATAACAAACACAATCAATAATGGTACACAAACCCTAGAGTTCTTCTTAACGTGGCTTAAAACACTACAATGGGAAGCAAAAGTTAAACATGGTATCAAAAATTATTAAAAGATATTAAATGCATCTGAAGAGGACTACTAATACAGCAGTACTACATACACCAGAACAGACACCAGAACGAGGAACTCATCTGAAACAATTCCTTTGTACATCCTACATCACTTAGTGGCACATAAAACATTAAAAAAATATTACTTGCACCGATGAACATGCCTTAAGGGCATCCGACAAAATTATAGAAATCACTGAGGAATAGAAATCCCGATTTTAGTCACACTATACAAAAACATGGATCACTCATAGCCAGTCTGGGATGACCCACAAAATACTATAATCCTAACTGTCCTAACTACCCAGAACCCAAAGGTTGTAACTACTAACCTGCCAAGGGGCAGGCATTTACAAGAAACCGTGAAAATCACTCATGAGGCAGGCGGGTGCTCCTCTATTTTTTTTTTCATTACTCTCGAGATTTCAGGAGTCATGAGTGTATTTCTCCACCAACACCCGTAACATGCTTCACACATAGGTTCCGAATGCACCCGTACTTTTAAGGTACTAACAGCCTTTCACAAACTTTTGGAGAGGAACTCCTACGTCCCACGTGTGCAATCAGCCATGAGGAACGTTGATCTCACACCTGGACTTGGCTATTCTAATCACATTTTACCACCATCACCCGTAACCTGCTTCACACATATGCTCAGAATACACCCATACTTTAAGGTGTTACAGCCTTTCACCAACTTTGAAGAGGAACCCCTACGTCCCACATGTGCAATCAACCATGAGGAGTGTTGATTTCACACTTGGACTTGGTTAATTCAATCACATACACCCAATACTGGGGAGATGAATGTCTCTATGTGACCACTAGACTCATGGTCTCAGTGTGTGACCTTTCATTCACTCAGTCTGCACTCAGTTTACTCTCAGTACTTCATGGACAGGAAGAGAGTGACCATTAGCCCCCCGAGTTAGGCCAATCCTGAGTACAACTAGGTGAACCCTGCCCAGCTGAGGGAAGGGTTCTATTTTCTCATTAGTAAGATTTTTCACTGACTGACTGAAGAGATGTGGTGTTGTATGAACCAAGGAAGGCAGATTTGATGACCCAGAACAACCACCGACCAAAGTGCGGACGCTGGTCCCACATAGTTAGTCGCCGACTAATCACCGGGCGACAGAGTGGGTTCTCAACCCTGCAAAAGAACACTCTGTTAGCTACTGTTAAATTCTTCTCTGCCCTATCTAAACACTGTTTGTGATTGAATAAAACTTACTTGCAACACTGATGAAACGTGCGCGGGAAGGAACGAGGCCGCGTGGTCGTTTTCCTTGGCAGACGCGTGGACTCCGTCTGCCTGGGTCAAACGCCTGAGAGCTACCGAGACCCAGTCCGCGTCGGCATGCCTCAAGGCGAGCCTGCCTCACCCAATGACGTCATCTTTTGAATTAGACATACAAATTTTAGATCTAATGCAATAATTTGGTTTACACAAAGCAAATATTTTATCTTTTGTGCAAAATATATGAAGTTCACATTCAAAATATTCCCTGACCTGCAAGGAATCCAGAAATGTCAATTATATTATCCTAACTTTAGTCTGAGGTATTATTTATTACTAAGATAAAAT